CTATGAAAATATGAGGCTTTTCTTGAGGAGGGGGCATCTAGATGTAAGCCATAACACCCTTGTTTTCATCATCTATTATGTTTACACTTTAACAAAAATGACATTTTTCTAAGGACTGCCTGAATTTTCTATCCAGATTATTTCAGTTCATATATTTACTGAGTGCTTTCTACGTGCCAGACTTTGTTTTTGTTTTTGTTTTTGTTTTTGAGCTACTAGAGATAGATACCACCTGGCTATCCCTGACTTTTTATTTTAGTGGGGGAGATAGAGAATTTACTAAAATAATTGAATTTAAGGTGGACATAGTGTTGCATGCCTATAGTCTCAGTTCTTTGGAGCAGAAAGTTCACTGTAGCCTAAGAGTTTGTGAGCAGCCTGGGCAACATTATGAGACTGTGTTTTTTTTTTGGTACCCAGGATTGAATTCACGACCTCACACTTGAGACTGTCTTTAAAAGTCAATTACAGGCGCTGGGGATTTAGCTCAGCGGCATAAGCGCCTGCCTTGCAAGCAGGCAGTCCTGAGTTCAATCCCTGGTACCGGTAAAAATGAAAAAGACCAAAAAAAAAAAAAAAAAAAAAAAAAAAGTCAATTACATAGGGGCTGGGAATTTAGCTCAGCGGCATAAGCACCTGCCTTGCAAGCAGGCAGTCATGAGTTTGATCCCCGGTACCGATAAAAATGAAAAAAAGACCAAAAAAAAAAAAAAAAAAAGTCAATTACATGTACTATCTATAGAACAGTAATAAAAGCTCTGAAGGAAGATAAAACAGGGAGAGGGAGTTGAGTTGGGTGGTCAGGGTGGACCTAGGTAGAAGGTGAATCTGAGCAAACACTTGAAGGTAAGCAAGCTATGCAGCTATCTGACAGAAATGCCTAGGCAGAGAGGACAATCATGTCAAAGGCCCTGAGATGGAAGCCTGCCTGCCATACTTGGGGAGCAATGAGGCAGCCAGTTTGAATGGAGCAAAGCGGGAGGAGAGTAGGAGATCCCAGAATGTAGTGGGATCCATTGGGGGTTTTGCAGAGGAGTGATATACTCTCCCTTACATTCCAAAAGATTTAGACTTCAGTGTTGCACATGGATCACTGGGAAGGTGGGAAACTAGGGGAGCAGTGAGGAGGGAATTGTAACAGTCCAGGTGAGAAAGGATAGTATCTTGGCCTGGGATGCCATCAACAGAGGGGTAAAAAGTAGCAGCTGCATTTTTTTTTTTCAGTATTGGGGATTGAAACCATGACCTTTGCACTGAGCTACTACTGCATCACTAAAAATATGATTTTGAGACAGTGTCTTGTTAAGACTCTAAGTTGCTAGTGCTGGGCTTGAACTTGGGGTCATTCTGTCTCAGCCTCTCAGAGTGCTGAGGTTATAGGCATATGCCACCTTGTTGACTGTTGAATATATTTTGAACATGGAGCAAATTGCCTTTCTTGGCCAACTGGATGAGAGCTTGTGACCAAAGGAAAGCAGATAACTCCAAGATGACTCAAACTCACAACAATCTCCCACCTCAGCCTCCTGAGTGCTGGGATTACAGGCATGAGCCACCGCACCCGGCTTAAAAGCCTGGGTATATAATTTTTTTTTGGTACTGGGGATGAACTCATGACGTTGCGCCTACCAGGCTGGCTTGAAATAGCTTGCTTATCTATCTGGTATATTAAAAAATTCAATACAGAGCCAGGCGTGGTGGCTCACGCCTGTAATCCCAGCACTCAGGAGGCTGAGGTGGGAGGATCATTGTGAGTTCCAGACCAGCCTGGGCTACAAAGTGAGCTCAAGGCCAGCCTGAACTGCATAGCGAGACCCGGTTTCAAAAAAGACAAAAAAAAAAAAAAAAAAAAAAGTTCAATACAGAGAAATTTAAGCCAAATATTTTTAGGCTATTAGATAAAGCAATAGATGACCATTTTATGAGGAAGCATAATAAGAAAATGTGTTCAACATCACTGGGAGCATGCAATGCAAAGGATTAGGACTGTGTCAGTTTTACATGTCGCATTTATTACATGATGTTCAGTGCCTGTCATGTTGAGAATGTCTGGAGAGTTTGAGGATTTGTGCCTGTGTTTGATTTTATGTACATGGATGTGTATGTTCTTTAACTTTTTAGAGTTAGGAGAAAAAAATGTTCACACATACAAAACTATGGAGAGTAGTACAATATACTCCTAAACCCTGGTCTCACTTGTCATTAACAACTTTGCCACACTGATTTGCCTTATATGTTCATTTTAAAAATTTTTTGTTAGAGCTGAGCTAGGTGTGGTAGCACATGCCTACTATTCCTGCACTCTGGGAGGCTGAACCAGGCAAGCTGCAAGTTCAAGCCCAGCCTGGGCAATATAGTGACTTAATGAGATCCTGTCTCAAAAAGGTCTAAGGATGTAGCTCAGTGCAAAGGTGCTGAGTTCAATCCCTAGTCTCACACACACAGACACACACACACACACACACACACACACACACACACACACACACTCCATTGCTGTGGTTTAAAAAATGCTATTTGAAAAATTTTTTTGTGTGTGTGTGGTACTACAGATCAAACTCAGAACTGCGCCCTTGCCAGGCAGGCGCTTATGCCACCGAGCTAAATCCCTGGCCCTATTTGAAATTATTTAAAATTTAGAGTTGTAAGAATAGGACAAAGAACTCCTAGGAGCCCTTTGCCCAGGTTCACTAATTGCTAACATTTTGACACACATATTATGACCTTGATTGTCAGACAGATAGCTTAAGAGATTCATAAAACACACTTGTGTCTGGATAGTCATGGGGGTATGAGTTTGGGACTATACTGGTCCCTGTCTCCTTGCTCGCTCCATTTGTTTCCTATGCTTTGCTTGCTGATTGCTGTGAACTGAGCAGCTTTGCATCACTGTAAGGGCACTGCTGTGCCCTTCTGCCATGCCAGTGTCTTGGAGTTAACTGACCATGGAATAGAACTTCCAAAATTCTGAGCCAAAATAAACTTACTTAAGTTGCAGGTGTTGAGTATTTTGTCCTAGCAAGGGGAAAGTTGACATATATCACATTTAGTTTTATATTTGTTCAATGACATATTTTGAGTTAGTTTTAAATATTGTGACATCTTTAAATTTGTAATTGTGAGTTTCTAAGATGTTCTTTATGTAAGCAGCATAATTTAGGATATTAGGAAATGCAACATTAACACAATACTATTAATTTACGCTCATATTCAAATATTGCCAGTTTTCAATAAAATTTTTAAGTATTGAGGGTTGAGTTAGAATGCGTGTGTGCATTCTAGCACTGAACCGTACCCCAACCCTTAAGTAATGATCTTTTTCTTCCCAGGACCCATCCCAAGAACATGTATTGCATTTGGTTGTCATGTCTCACTTTTTTTTCAGTACTGGGGATTGAACTCATGACCTCATGCTTGCCAGGCAGGCGCTTAAGCCACTGAGCTAAATCCCAGGCTCCATGTCTCTTTTCATATTTCTTTAGTCTCTAGTCAAAAGCCATTCCTCAGCTTTTCTTTGTCTTTTGTGACTGTTTTGGCTCATTTCTAGATATTCCCCCCAAAGCTTCTAGCACTCATAGTTGGGGCTTTTGGAGGCTGAATCATGTATTTGTCATACTGGGATTAAGGGTGTATAATACTACATTAGTCCATTGATTGAGTTAGCATGGTTTTGGGTGTGGATAATGGGAAAGCTCATCCTGGGTGTGGCTGGCATCACCCTTTGTAGCCTTGATGGGATAAAGGGGAAAGGGAAGCTTGCTGCTGCCACTGCTGCTTCCTATCTGTCTTGCATGGATTATGCTCCTCTGCCATGCCACCCTGCCCTGGAGCCAGCGGTAGATGAAAACCTCTACAAACTGAGCTACAATATACCTTTCCAAGGTATATTTACCTATTTACCTATTTACTATTTAACTATTTACCTTTTCAGGGTATATTTAACTTATGGGTGTTGGGTATCTTGTTTAGTCACAAGTAACTAACACAATGACACTTATTGACAGTTTTGGAAAGAACAGGCCAAATTGGTTATATCCGATTATCTTTGAGTTTGGTTCAGATTATTAATTTTATTTTTTCAGAAATACCACATAAGTGATGATGTATGTTATGGTTTAGGTCTAAAATAACGCCCAAAGCCTCATGTTTGGAAGGTGATTGCATTATGAGGCATTTTAACTTGCTCGCTATTCCAAGGTGGCGTCTGATGGGAGGATAGGGTCCCTGAGGGTCTGGCCTGGAAGGGTTTATTTACCTCCTTCCCCAGGTCCTTCCTAAGTGAGCGGTTATTCGTCCACCATGCCTCATGCCTTAGAACCAAACGAGCCAAAATAAAACAGTCCTTTATTACTCCTGTGGGGGTCTGGTATTTTTCAATGAGGAGGAAAGTGACTAAAACAACGTACTATCTCAGTATAATGATACATTGTTTTTTGTTTGTTTGCCATTTGATGAAATTCTGATCATTTGGTTAAGATGGGCTTAGCAGATTTCTGTTGCTAGTTACACTTGAAGCGCATTAAGCAGCCGGTTGTTGTTCAGTTCTGCTGTGAGCGAGGGATTTAGGATTCAAGAAGGGAAGCGGAGTGGATTAGGCGATTTCTCTTTTACTGGGCTCCAACTTAAAGGCTTTCAGTGGAAATTCTTTAGGAGCGCCTAAGCTCTCTCATTTCAGAGGAGTGAACTGAGGCATGGCCTAAGAAACAGTCCATAGTGATTAGAATCAGACTGGAAAAGTTCTGCATTTCTAGATCAGGGCTCAAACGCGGGACTACACCTCCCAGAATGCCGCTCGCGCGGTCCCCGTCGCACTGAAGGAATTGCGCGCGCGCGGGTCTGCTGTCGGCCCTGCCCTCAGAACCCACCAGTCCAAGATTCCGCGCGCTGGCCTCCCGCCCGCCCCTTCAGGCCCTCTGTCTGTCCGCTGGGGGCGCGCGCTGTGCGTGGTAGGCGGTAGCTGGGACTGTGAGAGCGGGTCGCGTGGTGATGTGTGGTTGCTAGGAGCACCTAAGGTCGCCCGCTTGTCCCGGAGGCCGAGCGAGGAAGCAGCGCGGAGCAGGCGCCGAGGCAAGACGAAGCCGGCTTTCCCAGGTGAGTGCGACTGCGAGGCCGGCACCGACCGTGGCCCCGTGCTCCTCTCCCCTGTCTGCCACCTAGCGCCGGTCCCCAGCGCTCAGGCCGTTCCCGCCCGGGCCGCGTTTCCGGCTCGGCGCCTCTCCATCCACCCGGAGGCCAGGGGCCGCGGCCTCCTACCTGGCCTCTTCCAGCCCTAGGTCGCCGCTGCTGCGCCCGGTGAACTTACTTGGCCTCTCTGGTGAGAGCCAGAGACTTGCAGCGACTCCTTTGCCCTGGCCCGGATGCCTCCTCTTTCCCGCCGTACTGCGGTTTTAAATTCCTTCGTCTCGTTGGGAACCCAAACTATTCGGCATCAGGGCCGAATTTAGCATATACACCTGCTTTTTTTTTTTTTTTTTAACTCCCCCATTCGGAGAATGTATAGGGAAATACTTTCCTAAACTTTCTAGAGTCTAGCAGGATCTGAATCCTGTGGAACTTAACGTCTTTATGCCTTGGATTGGACACATATTTAATGAGTCATCCTACTAGGGAAGGTACGGGAGATCTGGGATACAGTGGCAAACGAGACAAGCGTGTTTTCATGGAACTGATAGTGTAGCGGAGACTTAATCGAATTAGCATTTTCAGTGGCGGTGTGCTGCGATGGAAGTGAGGGGAAGTGCTTAAACTAGATCTGCTCGGAAGAGTACCACATTCCCGTTCTCCCTGCTCTTCACATTCACATTCTGGGCTAGGTAATATTTTAATCCTTTTTTTGTTTGTAGTCATCTCAGATGCTCCGAGTCGCTTCTTCCTTTATTTCAGCACCTGTTAATTCAGCCAGTGAGCAAGCATCTGGAGGAAACTTTGGGAGACTGTTGCAGCCTATCCTTTTTTTTTTTTTCTTGAGGTGAATGAGAGACTCTTTGCCTAAGGGCTTCATTATTGCACCCCATTGTTGCTAACAGAATTATCAGCCACTTATCAATTGTAGTAAACCTAGCCTGGAAAAATTAGGAAGTCTTTCTGGGATTGAAGAGGAGAGAGCAGACACTGTTCAAAGTAGCTTTAAGAATGGTACAGACCTGAATCATTTTGACATTCTTGAGCTGGGTTTGTTAGGAAGCCAACCTGAGTGAGACACAAGAAGAGGGAAGTTAATAGAGTTCTACATCACAGAGGGCCTTGGGGAGTTTTTAAAATTTTATTTTACTTTATTAGAACTGCTGTATTCTCTCAACCAGTGGTTTTTCAAGGTGGTGTCTTTAGGGTCCCAGGCTTCCAAAGAATAGGTACACTTGCACGTGTAGCTTTAGATGAATAAATTTCCAGAGTAGGTATGTCTAAAACAAGTCTTCCAAGAGTGCCTTGGGTGGAGATTGAGTGTGTGTATGTGAAGGGGCATGTCCCTCACAGACTGGGAATACTTTGTAAAACCAATTTCAGGGAAGCCTTTATTACTAAATTACCACCAAACCCAGCTTTCTATCTTTCCCCTAGTACATGTTGCTGTTGAGTTCAGCTTGTACCTGGTTGAGGTTCTGACTTTTTTCTAGTACTAGGGACTGAGCTACATCTCTAGCCCATTTTTCTTTTATTACATTATTATTATTACAGTACTGGAAATTGAATCCATGGCCTTTGCACTAAGCTACATCCCTAGCCCCTTTTTAAATCAATCTTTCTTTCTTTTTTCCTCTTCTTCTTCCTTTCTTCTTTTTTGTACTGTAGATCAAACTCAGAACTTTGCGCTTGGCAGGCAGTCTCTTATGCTGCTGAGCTATATGCCTGGCTTTAAGTCTATTTCAAGGCAGAGTCTTGCTGGGATTACAGACATGTTCCATCACTCCCAGCTACCTTGGTTCATAATGAGAGAACATTTCTGATGTTGAATTTTAAAAGAATACAGCAGTTTAATGTAACTAGGTTGTTTTATGGGACTATAGGTTCTTAAACTAATACTGAGTAAAACTTGCTTATAACAAGCTTTTAAGAGATAAAGTTAGGTTTGATGTATTGTTCAATAAGATAATAAAAATATGTTAAGCAAATCAAGTGATAAAGGGGCCAGGGATTTAGCTCAGTGGCACAAGTGCCTGCCTGGCAAGCACAAGGTCATGAGTTTGATCCCTGGGTACAAAAAAAAAAAAAAAGAAAAGAAAAGAAAATCAAGTGAAGAAATGTTTATTGTAATTACAATTCTTAATTCATTTCTTTATAAAATGTTTAATGCTTTCTACCTTTTAATAAAAAAGCAAACTTGTTTAAACTTTTGATGAAAAACTATATTTCAGGTGTGAGATTATAATTTAGCTTGCACAAGGATTTGATGCCCAGCATTGAGGGTAGTTTTTTGTTTTGTTTTGTTTTTTTGGTGCTGGGATCAAACTCACAACCTTGCATTTGCCAGGCAGGCACTGGGTAAAATCTCTGGTCTCTGGGGGTAGTTATTTAGATGTCCTCTTTAGTATAGTATAAGGAATACGAGGTTTAAAAACTACTTTGGGGGATAATGAGTAAATCATTTGAAGAGTATGTTAGGAAAACTGAAAAGATAGTTTGTAGGGTTTGTGTCTGAGATTACTGTAATGCCATAGTGGGGACTGACTAGGAAGGGTTTTAGACTGGAGTCAGGAAGCCAATGAGAAAACTATTACAGTGATTGAAGCTGGAAATACTGAATGTTTTATGCATTTTTTATGCTGCAGTGGGATGGAGGAGAGTCTATAAGCATAGTCATACATGCTTATAATCCCAGCACTTTGGGAGGCTGAAGTAGGAGGACTGTAACTTGAAGCATAGCCTGAGCAATTTAGTGATTTAGTGAGATTTTCTGAAAATAAAAAAAAAATTAACCAGGCATGGTGATGTACACCTATAATCTCAGCACTTATAAGGCTGAGGCAGGAGAACTGCCATGAGTCTAAGGCCAGCCTGGACTACATAGTCTCAAAAAAAATTTTTTTAAGGACCAGGGATATAGCTGAGTTTGAAGGTCCTGGGTTCAATTCCCAGTACTGCGAAAACAAAACAAGATAGAAAGATCTGGTAGAATTGGCAAAACTTGGTGGCAGAGTAGATGCATGGAGATTAGACCAAGGGTTGGTGTGGAATGATCTACATTTCTAACTTTAGTGGTCCAGTGGGTGATGATGCGAGGAGAAAATAGGGACAGCTTTCATTGGTCTCCTTCCTTTTCTCTGTGTCTCTCTCTCTACCCCCCACCCCCTCCTGGGGATCAAGGTCAGGGAACATTCAACTGTTGAGCTACATTCCCAGTCCTTTTTATTTTTAATTTTTAAATTTTGATACAGGGTCTCACAAGTTGCCCAGACTGGCCTCTAACTTGTGATCTTCCTGCCTCAGCCTTTCGAATAGCTGGGATTATAGGCATGTAGCACCATGTTCAGCTAGGAGGACAGCTTTATGAGCAACAATAAAAGAGTTATATTTATCACATAACAAAGCTGTTGAAAAAAAAAGTTATATTTAGAGCTGCTGAGTTGAGGTTGCTGCAGGAAGGCTCAGGAGGTCATGCTGTAGGTCTAAACTCACTACAGAAATCTAAGTGATGATGAAGTTGAGAGTTAAGGAGTGGAAGACATCACTCTGGGAGAGTGTGTCAGTAACTACCAATGGCCACGGATGCTGAGTGCTTACTATGTATCAGGCAGAGCAAGACACCGAGCTTACAGGACACCAACATTGAAAGGGTGGGCAGTGAAAAAAGAATGCAGGAGGGTACAGAGAATTTAAAACCAAATACAAAAATAAGTATGTGAATAGAGAGTTGTCACTTCTGAAGAAACTGTGTAGCTGAAGCCTTAACTTCAGGTTCTGGATGATGCTCATAATCTGGAGTGGGTTTCATTTCCCACCACATTTGTTATGTGACCTTGGAATTGTCTCATCATAGTCTCCCTGAAGTTTTGCATGGATCAGGTACCTCCGTCTGCCAGGAAATGAAAGAGATAGAGGCTTGCTTTATTGCCCTGAACTTTTTGCCCTCTCTTCTGGCAGAACTGGTAACAAATACTGACAGTACTAATTTCTTTTGGGCTCCAAAATATAAAGGACCTTCTTCAGAGACCTCATGGATGGATGTTCCAGCTGTTCTAGACCTGTAGTTCTCCGACCTTTTCAGCCCAGGCCTCTTCTGCACTTCAAAAAGCTCTTTGTGAGCCTCACTTTTTTTTTTTAATGTGGGATATATACTCAATGTTTACCATGTTAGAAACTGAAATATTAATTTGTTAGGAAATAATAAGCTAGGGGCTGGGGATTTAGCTCAGCGGCATAAGCGCCTGCCTTACAAGCAGACAGTCGTGAGTTCGATCCCTGGTACCGATAAAAAGGAAAAAGACAAAAAAAAAAAAGAAAAAAAAAAAAAAGGAAATAATAAGCTCACTATTAACATAAGTAACTTTGTGGGATTCTAAGGATTGAACCCAGCACATCTGCACTGAACTACTTCCCCAGACTGTTTTAAATTTTGTAAATGTTGAGACAAGAGTCTTGCCACGTCTGTTTAAGTTGTGCAGGCTGGGTTTGAACTTGTCATCCTTTGCTTCAGCCTCCAGACTGTGAGGATGACCGATGTGTATCACTGGGCCCCACTATAAGTAGCACTTTTAATGTAAATTACGGCTAACATAAGTCATATTTTTTAAATGAAAAATCTTACTGTTTCAAAAAAGGTTAGTAAGGGTGGCATTTTGCAGATCTCTAATGTCTGACTGAATAGAAGCCAGCTGGATTTTCAGATCTATTTCTGTATTTAATCTGTTGTCATATGTTGTCTGAGTGAATTATAAGGAAAATTCAGCCTTACACAGCTTACTGGGAAAGGGAAGAGTATTTCATTAGTCTTGTCTTGGAATTATGGTATTCTTTGATACCACGCAAAACAAAGGTTGATTTTGTAAAGATTAGTTACAGTGTGGAATCTGAAATAATAATGAATTTTTCGTTTTTTTTTTTTTTTTTTTTTTTTTTTCTCATTAAAATCATTCTCTCCTTTGGACTGCATGCTA